CAGAGAATTCATGTAGAGGACAACCCATAAGGGTGCCTGGAATATGGGAAGACCTTCAGGCAAAACACAGCCCTTAATTCATATCATTAAACATGCTCAGGTTTAGTTCTCATAAATTAATCCCCCCAAAAGGTGCTGTATTAGCAAAAATCACGGAGTTCTGTGGTAGCATAAAAACAAACAATTGTGGCAAGATCTTTCCTGGCATGTATCTGGTGGCGATTCTTGTCTTGTACCGTACGCTGTGCTGGTCCATCCCAGCTCTGGGGCGCTTAACGCCATCCTTTTGTTCTACTAAAGTTGCAAAGAATAGCAATAATGTCCAGTAACAGCATCCCTGAATGTTGAATAAAAGGAAGCAGAAATCTTAGAAAGGCAAAATATGTATCAAGTACGATAAAATTATTCGTGAAGGTGTACCTGTCTGGATCACAACAGGAAAATGTGTTGGTTAACCCCTAGGTTGATTATAAAATACTATCTGTATATCTGATGCCTTAAGAGTCAAAACTGGTGAAAACAGGCAGTCGTACCCACAAGGAGCTTACAATTTAACAAAAGGGAAATAGGAAGTAAAGAGGGATGCCTGTTGGCAGTTATCCTGTAGATCATGTTAGAAGAAAAACTCCAGTCCAAGTGATACAAGAACAGGCCTGGAGAAGTAGCATGAACAGATGCAAAGGGTGAAGGTCCGGCCTTTATCTTTCACCATGGTGAAAAAATTGGCATTTTGCAATGTTTTTCCTTGGGCACAGGGATCAGAGGGCGCTAGAGAGCCAGTGCTATGCCGCTGCACAAGGGTTGCTCCTGGATCTACTGTGCTTCCTCTTGTCTGAGCAGTTTATTTCTGAGGAAGGCTAATTGGCTACCATCCTGTGACTGGCTGGCTTCTCCAGACACTTAACAGCCCTTGGAGCTGATGGAGGAGGAGGAGGGGAGGATTACAATAGATAAATTGGTGTTTTAGGAGGTCCAGTGCACTTCTGGCTGTTGTGATTGTGACCGAGCTAAAGCGGTCCTTCATTCAGTAAAGAGGAGACTATCAGGTGTCCAAGGAAAGCCCCTTTCAAAGAGAGACTGAACGCCAGATCTGGTTTTAAACACTATGCATGTAAGACTTACTCTATGATATAAAGAATACAGAAGCATAAGAATACAAGTTCAGCCATCAGCAGCAGCAATATCAAGAGGCCTCATTCACACTCGCATTCATGCAGCTCTCATACAGCCAATAGACCCTCTCGGAGATCCACGGGGACTGTGGGTGACCAGCTGCAGCGCTGTTCTGGCACACGCGGGAGCTGGAAAGCCCAGGCATTTTATACCTTTAAGTTGATGCTGTCGGCTTAGTCTGACTGGATCGAACAGCGAACTCCTCTGAGCAGAGCTGACACACAGAACATGCTGGCCCTTACCATGAACACGAGCAGTCTCCTCACGTAGCTTTCTCTCTCTGGATGGTGGAGCTTGGGCTCATCTTCACTGTTATGTCCCCTTCTCCAGCCGCTCCCGGCCTCTCAGTTTTCTCAGTCTGGTCAGTCCCATCCTGCTTTTTCATTCTTCATTTTCTTCTGGGTCTTGGGCCTTCAGGAACCCAGGCACACTGTGACACGATTATTGGTGTGAATGAGCCTTTTGCTATGCCCGGCCTGCCTAGCCTGATGGGTGACCTAAAGCTTAGCGAAGGGGATGGACGTTCCTCGATAGTTCCAGCCTCCGGATTGTGACCCCCACCAGCTATGGGGGAAGGGGAAGAGAGAAGGGAAGGGATGTTTACCGTTGCGAACTGGGTCCCCAGCTGAGCCTGGGGTTCTCTCTGGAGCTGGCCGCAAGCGAAACATCCTTAGACGAAACTCCTCTCTCTGGGAACCTGACAGATGGGTCCGAGGTCTTGCCAGCTAAGTTTTGTCAGCCTTCTTGCTCCTAATATGGTTCCCATGAATTTTGTAAATAAACCGATGCGGCAGCGACCCTCTTCGCCTTCAGTGCCCTCTCGTTCGAAGGACAGCAAGTCCTGCAGCACTGGGAATTACAGAGAGGCTAGTGCTTTGCAAGAGCAAGAATTTTTTTTAAGGCTTAAACTTGGAAAGTCAACTGTGGCAAGGATTTAGGGTGGTTGTATATGAAGTCCAGTATCAGGAAACAGCTGAGGAGTGTGGGAGGGAGGGATGCATGACTTGTGTATTTTCCAACATTATTTGACCAAGGTGGGGAAGAACATTCGACCTTTGCTCTCACTGAACACCATTCTTCTTCTAGATTTTTATCTAAATGTATGAGAGGTTTGTTTTTTAAAAAAGAAAACACTTAGGGCTTACAGTGGACAGTTTCGCTTTTCTTGTGCTTGCAAGGCTTGCCTTTTGTCTTGTTGCAAAGTGATTATTTTTTAACGTCGTGAGCTGCCCAGAGAAAACTGTTATGGAGGAGGCATACCAATACTGTAAATAAATAAAACATTGAAAGTTTTGTATGAATCAGTAAAAATCTCAGTAAGTCCATTCTTCATCTGGGACATGTCATGGCCATTCGTCCTGTTCTGGGGCTTGTTAAACATTCTTTTGACTGAGACGGGATTCCGTGAACAGAAAACAAAGGGGTTACTTTTGCGGGCATTTGCTATGGCTGAAAGAGGAGATTTCTACCTGGCAAACCCACCAACTGCTACAGCTCCCCCCCNCCCCCCCATTGTGACCCCTGGGTTTGGGGGATGCTCTCTAGAATTTCAGCATCTGCAATAGAGAGAGAAAACATAAATGGCAGAGTTTAGCGATTCTGATTTTTTGAAATTAATTTCTTGAGCTCTGGGGATTTGCTATCTGAGGTTGCTTCGGAGTGATGTTGGATTGATGTTCACATGCCACCATCAGTTGCAAATTATAGCTGTGCAGCAACAAAACCTTTGTGGTTGCAGCTGGGATAAATTGTTCCGTTAGTGTAACAGGAAGCTGTGGCAATCCAAGGAACACTGTTTTTTAACCAGACGGGCAGCTTCCTGCCTGCGTGCATTCGCAGCCTGTGTATTTACTCAGAAGTAGGTGGCACCGAGTGAAAGTGGAATCTGTCCAGTGAAGTTTATCTAGTAGCCCACTGGGCTCAGATCATAAGGCCATAAGAAAACCCCTGGGGGTCCATCCTGGCCAGCCCCTGGCTCACCCAGTGGCCAGCCAGATGTCCACCGATCCCTCAAGCAGGGTGAGTGGAGGAGTTGCACCTGCCCAAGCTCCTCAGGGACAGGTGTACAGTGGAGGCAGCGCATGGCCCGCAAGACCAGTATTATTATTATTATTATTATTATTATTATTATTATTATTATTATTATTCTAACATTTCTATGCCGCCCCTTGCCGAAGCCTCGGGGCGGCTTACAACACAATAAAATACATTGAAATACAATAGAACATAATATATTACTATTAAATACAAAAATACAAAAAATACACTGAGTTACGAACATAATAATATAAAATTAAAATTATCAGTATAAAATAAGTAAATAAAGAATATAGGAGGAGGAAAGAGAAGGAAGAAGAAGTTGCCCTGGCCAGATCATATATTTTAACAATTAAAATGATGTTTAAATAAAAAGGTCTTTACCTGGCGCCGAAAAACCAGTAATGACGGTGCCAGGCGGACCTCTTTGGGGAGTGAATTCCATAGCCACTGCTAGCTTCTTCCTGCCGTATTTCTCCAGTTCCCTCTTAAAGCCAGTCCAATGGGTGCTCAGCATCGGGGGCTTCTCTTTATTTACTACATGTAACTGTGAGGAGGCAGAGGGACTCGCCCCTTGTCCGGGGCTTTCCACAGAGCGGGCCAAAGTCCACAGGGCGGGGCTGGA